AGAGGGCACGTTCTGCATGGAGCACTGGGTGTTATGCACAAACAATGAATCATGGAACACTACATCAAAAGCTAATGATGTAATGTATGGTGATTTACATAACAATGAATAAAATTTAAAGGGAAAAAAAGAAAATTGCATTTTTGTATGAAGCTGAGTTCACACTTCAGCACTACCACCTGACTGTAAACATAAATAAGTCACAGTTTTACAGTTTACTCATTTGTAAAAATGGGTATATTGCTTAGTAAGTCCTGCCTACCTAGTAGTTTTATCTTGAGAATTAAATGTAGTTATGCACACAAAAATAGCATGTTAGAGAAAAATCAAGGATTTAATGATTAGATAGACCGGGTTTAATTTTCAGTTACAAGGTGTGTAACCTTTAGCAAGTTTCTTAACTTTTTAACTTCAATTTCTTTCTCTATAATGGCGATAATAATGACTATTAGAAAAGATTTTCATGGGAATTTCATGATGTAATATGTGAAAAATTTCCATCAGAAAGCCCTGTCTGATACTTCTTTATCAGTATGATGTTTTGTGTATGAGGTTAGTAATAAATATTTATTGGTCACATAAATGGAATATTTATTTAAATTTATTTCACATACATTTAACTTTAGCAGGTTAAAATATAATATTGTGTAAATTTAAAAACCAAGAATGATTGGTTAAATGTCCATCCAGAGGAATGAATACACTGTAGATGTTATTAATATTGTTATTATCATGAAAATATATTTGCCATATATTGTTTAGGAGTGAAGAACATAAGGCGACATGTGTGGAATGCTCAAATTTTTTTAAATAAAAATTATTTGGAAAAAATATATCTAAAAAGTATAATGAAAATATGGATTAGTTTTATTTTCTTTTGGTGTATCTGTATTTTCTGATATATGTGCAAAAATGTCTCATCGATATAACATCCATATATCACCCATAATAAAGTGTGGAATGTAAATAATAAGGATAAAGAAACTGACCTCCTTCAGCTGAGCAGATAACCACAATCTGACTGAAAGGTCCATCTCCTTTATTGTTATAAACACCAACCTTCACTTCAAAGGGAGTGAGAGGAGGAACACTTTCATCTCGATAAATGAATTTTGAAGCTTCAGAGGATGTCACCATTTTTTCCTTCCAGCCACGTGTTCCATTGGGCCTGAAAGCCACAATATAGCCAAAGCCTTCCCCATTCTGAAACTCTTCAGATACTGGCTAAAGAAGAAAAATGCAATTAATTATCAGCAAAATAACTGATTAAAAAAGCCACTTCTTCCAAACTTTATTATTTTTTTTTAAATTATGGATAACCAGAGAAAAGGAGACTTTCAAGTGTGTAATGCTACCCTGGAAGCCAAAATAGCACAATCACTTAGTAGTCTTTGGAAACTTAAAAGGGGTTTAAAGCAAAAGATAAAAATTTAAATAATATCAGTATTTAAGAAGAGTATCAAGGGTACTGAAAACTCTTGAAGTGAAACAAATTTAAGCCATTTAGTCATGTATATGAAAATGAACATTCCACACTAGAATGTAGCATGTTGGGGAAAACTGTCATATGGTCTGGCGGTCAGAAAAATCTGTTGCTAGAAGTGCTCTGCAGAGACCTTTGTGCAGAAAAAACAGGAAATATTAATGTAAGACCTTTTTTGTAGTGTTTTCTTTTTCATTTGCTTTTGTGTTTTACTAATGTGAAAAAAATAGAAAAGAATATTTGTTCAAGTAATTGTTATACTATATGCTTACATTTAAATGTGTTAAACAGGCACAAATTCTACAGCATAGAAAGGAGTAACTGTGATTGACTAGTTAGTCAAAGGAGCAGTCACCAACCACTACCTAGCATGATGCTTGACACATAGATACCCAATAAATACTTGCTGAAACATGTTTTTTTTCTTTTGAATTTTGATTTGAGGAAAAACTGTATTGAGTAGAGGAAGAGAGACAAAGCCTATTATATCAAAGTTCTATAGACCAAGCTTTTATATCCCACCAAAATTCATATAATGAAATCCTAACCCCCAGTGTGATGGTATTAAGAGGTGAGGATTTTGGTAGGTTATTAGATTATGAGGGCAGAGCCCTTATGAATGGGAGTAGTGACCCTCTAGCCCCTCTGTGAGGGTACAGTGAGAAAATAGCCATCTGTTAACCATTTAACTCTTATAACCAAATATGAGGTAGAAATTTCAACCAGATGGCTCTCACCAGACTGGGATCTGCTGGTGACTTGATCCTAAATTTCTAGGCTCCAGAACTGTGAGAAATACATTTCTGTCATTCATAAGTCACCCCCAGGTCATGGTATTCTTGTTTTAGCAGCTGGGGCTAAGACGTGAAGCTACTAGGGAAGGAAGTTCTCTCTAGAGAGATTTGACCTCAGTGAAGTTCAGGTATTGGGAAGTTAATTCCTCTGCAGAAGTAAAAAATCAGAAATAAATTTTTACTGAAGAGAGGGATGGACAGAATAGCAGAACAGAGTATATGCTCATGGAAGATTTCTTACTGGGAAACGTTTTTCTGTACATTTGATCATTGTTTTAGAGACTCTAGGGGATTTGTTCACTTTGCTCCAGTAGACACATTCCATCTCCTTTACATTTTCATGTTCTAGGGCATAATTCTGTAAGCTACATGTTATATTTGATAATAAGGTAATCTAACATCAATGAAAGGAAAGTGGCTTCATGGGAAATAAATGTATCTCTTACACCCCTCTTCCCTGCCTCCTTTATAGAAGAAACTTCAGAGAACACATGGTGAGAGAGACAAGAGAACACAATTAAAGTCCCAATTCTACTGCTGATTAGGAAGAGTACTTAAACTGTGCCTCAGTTTCATAATTTTTAAAATGAGGAAAAATTATTATCTTTACTAATAGTGTTGCTTTATGGGTTAAATGAGATAACCCAGGCACTGTGCCACAAAAGCACTGGTGGTCATTTCCTTCCTCCCCAATGGTTTTAGTAAGGGTGCTATTTAATTGTGAAATAATTAAATGTAAAACTAAGCCAAACAAACACCTGAAGTAGTTTGTGAGATGATGTGTTTTAATTATTCAAACTTTATTCTGAGATAGCCTGACAGGAAGACATACTTCAGACTTGGAGAAAAGTCAGCTGGGGTTGGGTATGAAATGAGACAGGTTCATGTTGGCAGTACTCATCTGAGTAATATATGGTCAAAGTGTTTCTTAACCTTATTTAAGCAGAACTTATTCAGTCTCTCTGTACCAAATACAGATACTATATATGTAGCCTTATTTCCTAAGGAATCAACAAGTTCTGACATCTGAGTACAGGCTTTCTTACCTCCCAGGCTATGACTAACTCATGCCTTCTTCCACTTCTTCCACTTACATTGGTGGGTGCTGTCTTTGGAACTGTGGATTAAAAATGGGCCAGAGTGAGGACAATAAATAGATACTTAATTAAGAGCCCCATAAGAACATATTATGACCCGACTCAGGTTCTGTAAAATCCCAAAACAAACGATCAAAATTTGTTTGAAGTTAGAGTGGCCATATTCAATATTAATTAAGACAAAATGTTTGTGACAGATACCCTGCTTTCAAATCTATGTGGGAGAGTTTGATATATATTTTTCATGGCCACATAATACATTACCAAACCAGTCCTCATGTAAATGCTCTGTGGTAGTAAGGCTGAAATCACAATAACACTAAAGTTAAGGACATCTACTAATGGTTAAATTTCATTCTACAAATTGTCTCCTTTCTAATGATGTGACTCTTCTGTGGTCTCAGGGCTTGCAGAGCTCCAAGAAAGTCCACCAGTTGACTTAGTACTGTTTTACCAGAACTCCCAAATTTAAAGAAATTTGACAACAGTTCCATAGATGAGAACCTATTTAAATAAATAAACATTAAAAAGAACTATCAAAAATGAATCTCTTTGCAAACTACAAAATATATAAGCACCCAGTGAAACTTTTTCAAATGAATAACTATTAAAGAATAAATGTCTCAAAAGAATAAATTTCTCCTTCACTGCAGCAAGCCACAAAATCTGCAGTTGAAAGGGAACATTTTCAAATGAAGAATGGTTAAATGAAGAAAACTATTAAAAGAAATCATTTTCCAGGCTATGAGTCTGCATTAACAATTTTACACTTCAGTGTTGCCTTTATATCCTTGCATATAGTTTTTAAATGATATTGATATACTAATAAACAATAAATTCACTCCCATATATTACCTACTTGGATGAAAGGCTATTAATTACTGGTAGATAGTCAAACAGCATTTTATGTACCAGAAAAACTAATGTGGAATTTATGTTCCACGAGAAAGGAAAAAGAAAATTCTCCTTGCACTAGGGAGGTGGGAGAGAAAAGTCTGTGAATATATAATTGGCTCCACTGAAATAAAGACCTTTATTCACCAGGGTCCAAACTGAACAAGAGTTCTTGTCTTGCTCATGCTCATGTAGAAGGATATATATATTTATTTTTATTTTCTATATTATTTTTATATATATAAAAATTATTCACTTATTCACATGTGGAGTTCACGCTCATGAATTTTCTCAGAATTAAATGGAATTGGATATTCCTTTGCCTCTCATTCAAGAAATCACAAGAAATTCAACTGAGCAAAAATGGTGTTAGAACAATAACTGTGAATGTGTCCTAATTTATATAAAGAGCAAGCAAATCATTGATTAACTTGAGTTTTTTATTAGTAGTCATAGTTATTGCTAAATATGACAACCTATGACATATTAGTTTGTTTTGACACCATGTCCCCAAACCACTGTTATATAGTTCTAGTTCTAAATTTATTTTCTGGTCCATGGTATAGGTAAGGCACATAGGACTGGAGCTGGTTTAACTGTATGCATAAAAGAACAGAGGTCTAAGTTTCCAAATATCCTCTTAGTGGGTGATCTCAGAGTTCTGATGTTGTGATCATTAATGCATGGTCAAACAAATGTATAAGCAAGTTAATTTGTTGATATGGTGTGACTATGGCTTCTCATAGTACCATTTGTTTGTAAAAAAAATAAAAAGGAACACACACACACTTCATATTCATCTCTGACAACTAACAGTTAAATAATATTATGCATATTATCTACCAGAGCGACCTACTTCATCTATTACATTGGAATCACTAACTTTAGTCCCTAAACTTAGGATTTTGAATCTTCTTCTTTGAGGATAATTTCCCTATGATCATGGATGTTATGGAAAGACTAGGCACTGAAGATTCTTTTCTATTTTATTCAGCTATCAAACATCACCCAAAAAGAGGATGTATGGAACCTTTAACTTAGAGTTGGAGGGTAGGCTGTATGCTCTCTAGTGAATATCTCTTGAAGGTCATTTAAAAGATATGAGTAGAATAAAATACAAGTGACTATTTGAAGTTGATCTTTTCTTCTGAAGCTTTGGTAATACTGTTCCACAGTCTGTTAATGCTTTTATTTTTTAGAAAACATTTTTAGATTTTTCAAAATTTTTAATTTTTTTTTTTTAAGATTTTATTTATTTGAGAGAGAGAGAATGAGAGACAGAGAGCACGAGAGGGAAGAGGGTCAGAGGGAGAAGCAGACTCCCCGCTGAGGGGGGAGCACGATGCGGGACTCGATCCCGGGACTCCAGGATCATGACCTGAGCTGAAGGCAGTCGCTTAACCAACTGAGCCACCCAGGCGCCCTTAAATTTTTAATTTTTTTAAGTAAAAAAAAATGAGAAGATGCTAGTAAAAAATTCGGTGAAAATTTCTACTTTGAGGAAACAAGAAAGCAAAGTAACACTTTCTATGATGTGATTTGCTTTCCTGTGGGTAATTTCATCATTGCAGTATACATAAAGGACCCAGATTAGAAAATTTATTTTATTATTTGAAAGCAGTCTTTGAAGTTTTCCTATCGCTGCTAAATTCTTTTCAAGAGAGGATAGCCCATATCAATTTAATGTAAAGAATAAGATCCTCTTTTTATCACACTACCTTCAATTTTAATGTACAATAAATGACACAAAAAAAGGCATTACAGTTCACTGTGTTTTAACAGTATATGTCTATAAACATCAACTATCCTTAAATTTAAAAAAGCTCACTAGATATAATAGAAACTACTAATAGAAAACTTAAGGCTTCAAAGCCATAGGAACAACCTCAGTGTCCATCTATGGATGAATGGATAAAGAAAATATAAATGCTAGAATATTATATTTAGCCACAAATGAAGGCATTCTGCTAAGTGAAATAAGCTAGACAGAGAAAGACAAATACTATATGATCTCACTTACATGAGGGGTCTAAAAAAATGGAGCTACTAGAAACAGAATAGACTGATGGTTGCCAGAGGTGGTGGATGGGGGTGGAGGAAATGGGTGAAGGTGGTCAAAAGGTACAAATTTCCAGTTATAAGGTAAATGTGAAGTTCTAGGCATATCGCATATAGTTAACAATACTGTATTATATATTTGAAGGTTGCTGAAAGAATAGATCTTAAAAATTCTTATCACAAGGAAAAAATTATAGCTATGTGAAGTGATGGATGTTAAATAAATTTACTGTGGAATCACGTCACAATATATACTTATATCAAATCATTATGTTGTATACCTTAAATATAGCGTTATATGCCAATAATATCTCAATAAAACTAGAAAAGCAAACAAACGAAAAAGAAATATTAAGGCTTTAATAGCTAGGCATCAGGCATTGTGTTTTGTTATCAGGATCACAATGTTTGCATTGGGTACTCCTAATTGGCTTAAATTTCCTAATTGCATGCAGATGATCAGTGGAACCTGTGGAACATATGCTGAATTCATTTCCTTTTCAAGATATCTCTGCAGTCCATACTTCAGAGTCTACTGATTTTATTTATATCCTTTTATTTATAAAACAACATATTCTTGGTATATAGGGATTTGACAATCTTTCAGAGCCTTTGTGGTATAAAAGTTCTATAATTCTTGTTAGAACCATGAAATTAATATAATCAAACATCTAATAAATGCTTTCATTGTGTTCAGAGAAATACATATTTATTGAAAAACCAAATATATTTTCAATATAATTAATGAAAATCGGATTTAGAATTAAGCAGCTAGATGCTTTTTTCCTTTGGTTGGCTACTGATAAATGTCATGAGCTCATTAGCTTAGAGAATCAAATTTACATGCATGATTAATGGGTTAAAGTCTGATTCTTTTGAGTTTCTTTCTGAGCAATGCTGTTCCATAAATGGATAATGTTATTAACACTTTTCTCACAAGCTGCAAATGCCTTGCTATTTTAGTGCCTTATTTGGCATGTTGAAATGTAGACTATTCTCTTTTCACCTTATGCACTGGAAATATTATAAACACTCAGAGTGATCAAACTATAGTACCTTAGTTTAAGCATGCATGACTTTAAGCCTGAATCTCAAAGAACTCTAAGTATAATAGTTTGAACAAAGTCAATCATGCTAACAACATGCTTTAAGTTGCATCAAACTAAACAAAAGAAGAGGGGATGAAATTGTTTACCAATCTCTTCTTTTTCCTGAAAAACTTCTATTATCTATTACAGTAGATGTTTACACAGCTTATTAAATGATAAAGCTTTCTTAGAGACCTGGGAGAGGCCATGTAATTTAAGAGTTTAATGGTAATCCAGCAACTGGTTTGAAAAGAAAAGTGCAAAAGAGTAGGAAGAAGGAAGAGAGGTTGCTTATACAGGAATGGTGGAAGTCAAGAGGGAAATTAATAAACAAACAAACACATTTTTTCCGACCTGAATTGAAGTATTTGGCAAGCACACAAATATTTCAGTTAACTATCATTTAAGTTCATTTTATAAGATTAGTTAAGCTTAAAGAGTTTCCAAAACAAAAAGTACCAGTGGTGTTTCCTTAAGAGTTCAAATAATGCTTTACTCCTATCAATAGATAGATAAGGTGATATGCACAAATTGAATGTGTTTTGGTGGGAGTGAGAATGGTCTGGGTTTGGATCTCCGTCTTACCATTCTAGCTGGTTGGCTAAAAATATTTCTTAACTTTGTTGTCCTTCAGTTGCCTAACAGAGATAATAGTACCTACTTTTTTTTTTTTTTTAAGATTTTATTTATTTATTTGAGAGAGAGAGAATGAGAGAGAGAGAGCCAAGAGGGAAGAGGGTCAGAGGGAGAAGCAGACTCCCTGCTGAGCAGGGAGCCCGATGTGGGACTCGATCCCGGGACTCCAGGACCATGACCTGAGCCGAAGGCAGTCGCTTAACCAACTGAGCCACCCAGGCGCCCTAGTACCTACTTTTTAAGGTTATTTTTCAAAATTATTTATTATAGTGCCTGGAACTATAATTTATAAATATTACCTAATGTTATCATCTACTTAGATTTCAAAAAGAAAAAACAGTGAA